CAGACATGTTGCCATGCATATTGGTAAGCAACCCCTCCTCCTGCACCACACCAGGCCACATGCCCTCAGCAAGGGAAGGGTGCTTTGCCAGAGGGGAACCCCTGGCAAGGCATCTTCTCCCCATGCCGAGGAAGCTCTTCATCACAACCCTGGCCCAGTGGATATGTGGGTCTGTGTGCAGGGGGGGCTTATCGGAATCTGGGTGCCCCCTTTCATAAAGGTCCATAAAAGTTACATGCCCTTCTCTGCAATCCTGCAACATCCCATTTTCCCTTTTGTAAACTGGTGCAAAAACTGGTATGCTGTGCGCTTCCTATTACCTTTCATTAAAAAAAATAAAAAATCTAGGTAAAAGCTCGACTACATGGAAGATTTTAATCTCAAACTACAGAGTGATTTATGAGGGATGTGTCAGAAACAAATATTGCAAGTAAGCACTGCTTACTTGTTTCCTTAGGATGCCTGTCAGGAGTCATTGATCTACCTCTAGCAACAGTATATATGGGTTCCCTGCCGCCTAATATGCTCTTGTTCATCTCAATAGCTCACCAAGTAGTAAAAGAAGGAAAAGGATGACAGCTCCAAGGCACGCACCCTTAAAGACACGTCAGCAATTGTAGCTTCTATATTTCTTTCCTGAAAGGTTCCTTTTAATATTTTGTAGGCAGTTACCTCATTGGTAACACATACTAAAATCAATGTGCTGCAAGTGAGGTGATTTATAAATGGTTACATTACTCATTACCATGAAATTAAAATGACCTATATACTTAGCTTCTGATAGGAGCAAATCAATGCTTACTAGTGAGTATATTAAAAAGTTTTGGTGCATATTTTTAATACTTTATTTTCAATATCTTTTTTACGAATACAATAGAATGTAGCAGGAGATAACAAGAACACAAATAGAAAGAACAAAGGCAGCGAGTATAAGTGGCAATGATGCCCCCAATCAGGATTCTTAATCTCCCTTAAATAGGAGCTAAGGTCCACTCCTCAAATTGATAGGCAGAAAAACCAACCCAGTATACTACAGACAAACTAACCTTATAAACACGCCACGAAGAAGTATACACATCTGTAGTGTGTTCCCTCCCAGCATGATCTATTGGTGGGATCTAGACACCTTTGTAGTGTGTACACACCCAGCAGGTGTGTTGTGCAAAGCCCTGCATGAATTGCAAGGTGATGTTGTGTAAATTAGCTCTACATTGTGTTTCTTGCGTTGATGAATGCAGGAATGTAAATGCATGAGCTAACCATTTTTGTCTAAACTGTGAAGCAGCATTATATATGCATAATGTGCATGATTTTTCCATATATGGCATTAGTGGAAATATGCTTTTAGAGACTTTTTGGTTGATAAATATGTTTTGCTGTGTAAAAATCACACGCACTTAGTGCGTGCGTGTGTTTAGGTTAGTAAATCAACCCCACTGTGTCTATCGTTCCAAAAATTTGAGCGGGTATGTACGTAAATGTGAGTGCTCTGGAGAAGCAAGCAAGAAGTTCAATTTATATGTGGCCCTGAAGTCCAGGGGGTCGGGTGGCTGGGATAGCATGAGGAAAGTCCAAACCTGGTCAAGGACATCAGTTAGAGTCTGCTCTCCAATGAGCACTGAGGTGCTATGTTAAGCCTTACATTTCATAAATAGCTCAATATTCCGCCCTAAAGAAAAAATTGTTCTAATAAAACCAAGTATTATATATTGAGGTGTGCGAGTAGCAATTTTTGTATCTTTTTGTAGAGAGAAGGGCCAGATGGAGAAGGTATTTTGTTGGATCTGTTCCTAGTTGAATTCCAGTAAGATTACCAGTGATCTCACACCTTTTCACCCAATATCTGTAGTTTCGGCCAACTCCAAAATATGTGGAGCATGGAACCCTCATGTTCCAAGCACAGCCAGGAGAGGGGCGTTCACTGAGGAGAGATTTTGTGTTGGAGTATCTTAACATTCAGCCATTTCTACTGAGTTTAGTTCAGTCCTCACAGTGCCGTGCCCCCCACTACACACTAATTCATACTTACTCCAACCAAAAAATACCCACTGCCTACATTTCCTCTTACACTTTACTACAGTTAGAATTACTGGCACTTTTGTTAGCAAGGCATATAAAAGGTAACAGCACACTTTTTAGTAACTTGTGTAATTATTTTGAGTCCAACTGAACTTTACATCAACTCGGAAAATGTGTGGCGTAGTCTTCTGTAGACTGGATCCCAATGCCACTGAACCCATGCTTCATTGCCCTTGGCTTAAAGCAGGGTTCTGGCTCTGGAGGAGGAAGAGCAGATGGAGCAGAGGGCAATGGGCCCAGAAGGAGGGATGTGCTGGCAGAGATAGAAGACTTCTGTCTACATTACACCAGCACCTGATGTCACTCCTGACTCTCAATGCCTAATGCACATCAGCCATCTTCAGGGTCTTCATCAGATGCTGGCATACTGTAGTAATTAGGTCTGATCTAGAAGATGTGTTTTTAAGAGCCGATGTTTTAATGTGTTGCTCCTAATAATGGGCTGCTGATTTCATTGTATTACCTCATTAGCAATACTGGGCCATTATTTTTGCACTGAAACTAAAGCCGTATTTCCGCACACTTCAGAGTGTGCATCTCAGGGACCACCGTTGGGTAATAGTTGGCACTTCTGACTTGTAGCGCTGATAGTCCCTGGTTCAAATCCTGGCCAGGACAATATAAAAACGGAGAAGTTCCGGTATCAGAGCATTTGGGCAAGTACGGGTACTCACCCAAATACTCGGTATCGACACCGATACTAGTATTGGTCTCGGTGCATCTCTAATTAACATAACAAATAAAATGACTCGAACATGGTTGTGGATGTCCCACGTGACTTTGTGGTACATGATGGCAGTCCCATTTGTCTGTGCATGTGTCAGTAAGTGACCTATGGACCTTTAAACACAATGAACCATTTTCGACCGCAGGCTGACTAAAAGACCAACACAGTTTTTGCATACTAAAATATTTATTTCCGATATTTTAAATTAGCAGGAATGTTTATGTTTTGCATTGCTGAGTTGCATGATAAAACTAGACAAAAAACATTACACAACTGTGTAACCAAAGAACCTTATATTGCAGCATGATTGATTATCTGTTTCATGATGGTAAATTATTAAAGCAGTCCACCAATAACCTTTTCTGGTCATCTGTAATATAAAGTGTAAACATAATTAAATCCACAGTACATTGAATGTAATGGCTTTTTGTGTAGTTGTATAACTATGCTAGAATACGGTGTTAAGTTTTAAGATATATCAGCAATTTTTACTCTACAAAACGGATTTCTGTGCAAATCACTTGATAGTACAATTTACTATGAGTTAATATGCCTTTCTAAAATAGTACCGCATTTAAAAAGGAGAACTATGAGGTGAGTGCTTTTCACTCACCTTATAGTTCAAGCCGACCTGTGACAATGAGACTGTCACAGGTCGGCTCAGTAGATCGGGAGGTGAGCGAATACATACCGGGTTCGCTCGCCTCTCGATCCTGTCACGGCTCTCTGCCGTGACAGGGGGAGGGGCTGGATTCCCCTCTCCGATCTGCCAGCGCTGACTGGCGGAACGGACGGGGGAGGGGGCGGGTACAGCTGGCTCTGCCTCTAGATAGGCAGAGCCAGCTGTCACTCACGCAGCTGGGCGGATCCCGTCATCTAAGTCGGGATCCGCTCCGGCTGCGGCGTCTCAGTATACCGCGAGCTGTAGCTCACGGTATACTGAGCTTAGGGTAACGGGAGGACGCTAGTTTGTGTCCTCCCGTTACCCTAAGGAGAACTATGGGGAAAAACACTGACCCCATAGTTCCCCTTTAAATCTGCTTTCCATAACTACATTACTTTTCATACAATATAAACTATGGTCAACATAGTGTTGAAGAACCGCTCAGGCTGATCTCCTGGATCAACAAAGGTCTCTGTGAAGGGATGATTGAAAAAATACATTCTTTTTCTTTTCTGGTAGATTCAAATGTGTTTTTTTTTGTTTTGTTTTTTATATATGGGCACTTTTAAATATGTGGGGTGGATATTCAACTTTTTAGAATTCATTTTTCTCTACTGTAAGAGATCATTCAGAGCATTTGCCAATGTACCAAAACTTCAGTATGCAGCAATGCAATTGCTTTTGGTCCCATTCTAAATTATGAGTGCTGGCAAATGTGTTTACAATCATTAGTGCAAATTTCAAAAGGGAGTAAGTTACATTTCACAAAAATGTTCTATAAATATAATGGGGTCATTGTCTTGACAGAAGTTGTATATATTGGAGTTTCTGGTATGCACGATACTAATACAATCACTTCCTTTACAAAAGTTGTACAAAAAGTATCATGTTACCAAATGAAATGTTCTAACTCCATAACCAGCCACAATTAGGGTGAGCACATCCTTTTATACTGAACTCAGACTAAGCCAGAAAAATGTGGCAGTACAAACATATAAATGGTCAGCAATATGAACTCTGCTGGGAAAATTGCACACAGCTTGCTGGTGAGATCAGTGAGCCACAAATTAACCACAATGTTGCTGCGTGCAAAAACATTTTTTTCAAATATTAGAAGTTGCCCAAAACAATTTACTTTATCTGGAACAGAAGCAGGCTTTTCATGCATACATTTTTTCGAATTGAATGCTAATGTATATTAAAACACAAAATTATTGTGCCACTCTTTGCCTAGATCAAATAAAATGTCATACTTGAGTAACAAAAATTATAGTAAATTAATTACAGAGACTTTAAAAAGATGATAATGGAGCCAGAGGAGAAACATTTTCACCAACTTGACACTAATAACTATTTGCAACCATTGTTTAGTCTATTGTCCATTTTCCCTTTTTTGTAAATGCTTACATTTGCCATGACATGCAACGGACTGAACCCTAAGAAATATAACCTTGTCTGCTTAATCTAGGCCTAGAAGACTGAGATACCACTGCAAAAGGTGTTTAATGATTTAGAATTCTAACAAAATGCACCTCATACTATAATAAATCTTATTCTAGATCACGGTTTGTCTACCTAAATAGAATGATCCACTTTATTAGATGTTATGCACAATGCCTATATTATGTTCTAGGTGTCTTCAGAAACACATGCAATTTGCCTTGAAACTATAGGACACCAAGATAAGTAGTAACATTTCAGGAAAAAAACAAAAACACTGCAAAGCCTAGTAAGAACAATCTTTCAGTTTACACAAATGTCTTCAATAAAGCCATGATTTTGGAGTTCATCAAATCATGATAAATTACAGAAACATCAAACTTAAAATATAATTAGATATTTATCTTCATATTTCACACCAGTTTCTTCAAACTGGATAACGTATAAGCTGTTAAATAAATAAAGAAACACCACAAAAGACTGAACAAAATATAATCCATTATTAAACCCTGCTTGGGTTTTCATCATCTTCTTTATGGGAATCCTCAATGCCTCGTGCAAACAGTCTGATAAGTTGACAGTGGACCCTGGAAACCAAAAGGGGAAAAAAAAAAATGATTTGCATGTGTAAATTTATCAAAACAGTAAAAAAAAAACAAAAAAAAAAAAAACTTTGCTATAATTGGATATCCAAAAAACGTTGAATATCACGCACCATAAACTTCAAAACCTAAAAATGTGACTAGCTGGTAATAAAATGCATGCGATTGCCATTTTGTTTCCTATGAATTTAACCACTTCAAGACCAGGCGTTTAGACCCACTTCCTGGCCAGGCCATTTTTCAGTGTTCAGCGCTGTGGTACTTTGACTGACATTTATTCCATCATGCAACGCTGTACTGAAATTAATTTTATACGATTTTTTGGGGACAGATAGAGCTTTCTTTTGGTGACATTTATTCACCACTGGGGTTTTTATTTTTTACTATAATTAGGAAAAATTACAGAAAATGTAAAAAAAAATGTTTTTTACATGGTTACGAAACATTTATTATTACCCAGTTTTTTGGTAAAATATAAAAGATAGGGTCACGTCGGGTAAATAGACACCAAACATGTCAAGCTTTAAAATTGCGCGCATCCCGCGAAATCGCAGAAAACTACCATACCCAAAATTGGCCATAGGCGACGCTTTAAAAGCTTTTACCGTTCATCAGTTTAGTGTTATCAGTGATTGATGGCCCTAGACTTATTGCTCTCACTCCGAAGTTCGCAGCGATATGTGACATGTGCGGCGTAATGGGCGCAATCGTCTTTTTTGCACGTATGCGCCCACGACGGGTGTGTGCATGTATGTATGTATGTATGTATGTATGTATGGGGGCGTTTACATTTTTTTTAAATTCTTTTTTATGTGTAACTTTTTTTGGGGGGG